GTTTAATGATTAATTAGGTGGAACATTGTGGGTGTGGTGTAAGAATGTTAACACTATGTAATAATTCTTTAGTATATTACTTGTGTGGTGTAGAAGATAATTATCTAAGAATGTAATTATGTACGAATGTTAACAATCTGTAATATTTTTTTAGTATATTACTTGCGTGGTGTAAAACAAAATTATTTATGCAGAGATACTGCTTGCAAACCAATGATGGTAAGATGATGTCATGGGGTAGGACTGGATAAGTCTGACTTCTTCCTACTCCATTCAACCATGTACTAGGTATAAGCAAATTGATATTGGATTAGCATTTGTTGGATATGTGTAAAATGATGTGTGTTGATATATCAACTGTCTTTACATGCTTGAAAGAATAAATAAATCAAATCAATCAATCAAAACACAAATTCTTTGACTAAACAAAGAATTTGTCACTACTTTTGGAAGGTCGCTTTCAAAAGTAGTAACAAAAATATACAAATGACAATTCTGCATTCGTTTCACTGTCTGTTTTAGTCATTAGCCCCACGGGTTAAACTGAAAGTACTTGCAAGCCAAATGGGATCATGGGAGAGGCACAAAAGACTCCCTTTAGCCTGAGACTCACTGTCTTCGCCACTGTGATAACAACATCCTTCAAGCTGCTGCCCCAACAGACTGCATAGATGATCAACAGACTTCTTTTATTGTCATCTCACAAAAGCGTTGATTTAATCTGTGAGGCAACGGGCCATTGGAATGAGCAGTGACTGCAGTCACAAGGAATTTGTGATTTGGTGTGTGACAGCCACAGGGTGCAATGATGTAAAAAAAAAATTCAGAGCCCCGTTCAGATATACAATATGACCTCCTTTTACACCCTCAACATAGAAATATTGTGTCTTTGTAACTTTGGTCGAGATGAGTCGATGAAGACTAGAAGACAAGCTTTGGTGTGGCATTTAGGCCAATGGGCCAACAATGTCTATAGTGTAGTCCTGAGTTGATCCGATTATGTCACTGACAATGTGGATGTCCACTCTGTCCTACTGTCCGTACAGTGCTGAACAGTGAAAAAGTGTGACTATTCAGTCCATTGTGACCCGGGGTGATGCACCCCATCATTCAGCTTGACTGGGGCTGCACAGAAGTTCATGATAAACGTGCCCACTGTTTTGATAGGGTCATCCCACAGCCATTAGCTAAATAGCTGAAAAGTAAATCTCTGAACAAACACATGAATTGTCTTGTTAAAAGAATAGATCCATTTTTGAGGAATTTCTCTTTCTTTTTCATAACAAAGTATAAAACAAGTTCATGAATGCCTTATTTATCTCTCTCCATGCAGTTTTGATTTCCATCTTTGTAACCTTTGCTGTCACATGAGTTCAGTAAAGAGGAATAGCCTGCTTCATGGGTGCTCCAACAATTATAAAATTACAAATACAGTATGTGCAGAAGTGATATTCATGTTGCTCTAGATAATCCACATACCTCCCTGTGAGCAGTGTAGAGCATAGTACATAAGGTCTGAACCTGACCCAAGCCTGACACAGTTGCGTTTGTATGATATTTTTTCCCTTATCATTAAATGAAGCAGACATTTGAGTGCTCCAGCCATCTAGCCTAAAGTCTGACCCACATGTCCGAACCCAACATGGACCTGAACATAAGTTTCTGTCCAAACCAGGCCTAAACCCTCAGTTATCGACGGGTCTCATTGGGCTCAGTTCAGGTATCCACACTCTAGAGCAGTGTTTGTTTTTCATGTTGGAGTATAAATGGCAATGTGAGTGTGTGATGTGTTGAAACGCTAAAGCTTTAAGAAATACAACGCTTCGAAATACAATAATAATTGAATAATTGTTTTTTTGCTAAGTGTTAGATGATTGATCAATATTGATAAATATGAAGCTACAGCCAGAAGGTAGCCTGGTTCTGTCCAAAACTAGTGCATCCATGTTGCTGCAAGTTTCCTTATGACATAAATTTTATCATCATACAACCTAAAATTGAGATACACAAGCTGCACCCCATGATGGTGACAGAGCAGACACTGAATCTAGTTTGAACAGAACTGTGTCTTAATTTGGCAGGATTATACAAGTACACTGTGACTTAATGTGCACTTTACTATGAGTCTATATGAGCTTGTCTTACCTTGGCAAACTGTATCACTGACAGAGGTGCAGACCTTCAGCACCTCCTCTTCATCACAGGTGGTGCAGGGAATGCATGGCTCACGAGAACTTTCCTGATCTGAGTATGTGTCCCCAATGCAGTCCTCACACACTGTGTTATGGGCATGCTCACAGCTGTACAGCAATCCCTGGCCTTCAGGACATTTGGTGCAGGGTTCACACATCTGAGACAGGTTATTTTGGTAGAAGCCGTAGTTGCAGACACAGACGGCATCGTTGGCGTCTGTGCAGGGCGTCTGCATGCGCATTAGACCTGTGCACTGTGTGCAGGGCTGACATTTCTCTGTGTGACTGAAGTTTTCTGAGAAGGTTTCACCTGAAAGGAGAGGAAAGAAAATGGCCACTGAACTTTTAGTTGACCAGATGACCAAATGTGACTAAAAGTTATTATTCTTTAAGATATAAATGATTGTCATGTCATGTTTTGTTTGTAGGAAAAAAGATAATATCTAGGAAAAAAGGTTTTTTGTTCTACTTGTTGCTTTCAGTCCATTCATCTGAGCATCCCTGGGCTAGATCCATGTGAAGTGGCGGTTGATAGCAGCACGCACTGGAGCCAATGAAGTAGTGAATTTTCTAATTTTACACAAAATTGTTTTTCAGTTTTTCCCCTTCATTTACAGATCTCGTGATAATTCTGCACGCTCTTAGCTTCTTGATTGTTATAAGCAACAATCTTCTCTTCCTCAGCTGCAGGCAGTTCTCGAAGGGCATCTTTAAGGAAAATCTAATTCGCTCTCTACTGGTCTCTGATATGATGCCGCATTTCATTTTTGACCTTCACTGCTCAAATTCCATCTCCAGGCCACTTCTGTCTTCTCTCTGAGTGCTCTTTTATTTTCACAGGACATCTCCAGTTGGAATTAAAAGTGTGTATTTTTAGTCTGTATATTTCAAAAACCTGTCTAAGCCATCTTAGTAAGCCTTTGTTAATTCAAAGAATGGAATCAATAACCCCTCAACTCAACATATTTAGAGTATGGAGTTGAAAACTGGGGAAACACTTACAGGAGTTCACTTCAACCATTGTACATATTACAGAAGAGAGCGATAAGAGTTGTGCACAAGATGGGGTATAGGGATCACACCAATGTAGCTTTCATACAGTCTAAATTGTTAAAACTCTTTGATTTGGTGGAATATAAGACTGCTGTGTTTATGTATAAAGCCAGGAACGACTTATT